ATCATAGTACCTAGACCAAAGCATAACGCCTCCGTATTTGTCCGATTGTTTCACCACCGGAAGGATCTGATTTATAAGAACATCAGCCGGAATAAACCCCCCAGACGGCGCTGCATCACTCGACGCCGGCAGCCCCAAAGATATGTTACCTGCAGTTGTTGAGGAAACCCATGTGTTCCAGGAATTGATAATGTTATCAATGTTACCTGAACTATACTGGCACTGGGGATTGTTGTAGAATTGGACCCAAACAGTGTCGAAGAGACCGGTAGAAATGGCGATGTTCAAGTGAGCATCAGGATATGGGCACTGCGGTGCTGCAGTCAAATACACATTCTGATCGTACGCTTTCAGGAAGTATGTGAGATTGTCGTAGTATTGGCCATCGCCGAACTCTATATCGAAATCGACACCGTCTAGTATGGCGGCTCCGAGCGGGCCGGCGGACGTGTTTCCGTCCAGGAAGTTGGTCCATAGATAATCTGCCACGTCCTGTGCATCCTCCACAGAAGTCAAAGTGTAGGTATCTGTTCCACCGCCAATGGAGATCAGCACCTTGATTCCAAGCTGCTGGCAGTACGATATCTCCTGGCCAACCCCAGTGCAGCCACCGGAAGTCCACGAGCCACAGTGGCCAGCAAGATTGATTTCTGGGGTTTGGCCACCGCCAAATTTGTATAGGAAAGCGATATTAACTATGTCATATATGCCGCTAGCACAAGTGTCAGTTAGGGACCCCTCATCAAGGTTTTGGCCCCAATAGACAGCAAGGGCGCCGCCGGTGGCGGCCTCAGAGGTTTGGGGAAGAGCAAGAAGAAGTGCGAAGAGAATCGCCATGGCTGCAGTAAATTTGCTGGTCATTGTAGGAAGTATATGTCTCAGATCTCAGGCTTTGCGGTTGAAAATGTCTCAACGGGTTGGTCCTTTTTATAGAGTTTGATAGCATGATGCAGTAAGTGATTCCTTAAATTTTTTTTTTTTTTTGTAATAATTATATTTGTGACTCTGCACGGTTTAATTATTAAAAACTTACATGATTGCCATGGCACGTGGAAATTTTTTTCATTTCACATGTGAATTAATCGTATTTTAGTACAGATTCGACCTTATCTTCTAGTGTACTACTACCCACGACTTATGTGGCGCTCCGTTTCTAATCGATTTAAGTGAAAAGGAAAAACGACAAACACAATCTTATTTAATAATTGCACTTTTTCATAAAATAATTCGACCTTATCTTCTAGTGTACTACTACCCACGACTTATGTGGCGCTCCGTTTCTAATCGATTTAAGTGACAAGGAAAAACGACAAACACAATCTTATTTAATAATTGCACTTTTTTATAAAATAATAATAATAATAATAATAATAATAATTGTTCTTCAATGCATCAAGGAAGTGAGTGCGAACCAATTCTCATTTCCAAAATTTCTACGGTTTAAAAAATATATTATTGAATTAAAGAAAACCCCTTAATTATAAAAAGGAAGATGATGTTTTACATTTTAATATAATTAAACAGGTAAATAGTAAAATTACATACTTATGGTATAAAACTGAGTAAGATTATAGTGGGTACTTATTTTGTTAAGATAATTAATAATTGTTAAAATTTATATTTTAATTTAATTATTAACAATAATAAATAATTAATAAAATAATTGATATTTATTATTTAATAAATTAAAATTAAATTATAAATAAATATATTTAAATATTATAATTAATTATTTAATAATAAAAATATAAAATTATAAACAAATAAAATTACAATTAAATGAATGATGTTCTCATATTGAACAGTGGAAAATAATCCAACCCTATAAAAATGACTTTACATATTTCGACTGGTCGAGGTCAATATAATACAGCTCTGAGGGAGATGATAAACATGGGCGGTACCATCTGACACGACGAATGGTGTGTTACCAAGTGAAAAGAGCAGAACCAATAAAGCCTGCTCCTTTCGTCCTATTTTACTTGTAATTTTCGAATCTGTGCACAATTTTTAATGCTCTTTTATCACATATAAAAAGCATTTGAATTATCTTTCTCAACAAAAAAAGCATTTGAATTATCAACTACTTTATTGATCTCAGTAAAAGATTTTAATTTTTTTAAATAAAATTTTAAATTTTAATTTAATAAATAAATATTAAGAGAATTTTTATTCATAAAATTAAATATGATTTAATTTTAAATTAATTAAAATTTAATGTGATTATTGAATGTGAAAAAATTAGTAAAAAAACATTTGAATGTTTTAAATAAATAAAATTACGTATTGAAAAAATATTAAAATTTTTAGCCACATACCATATGAAATTATTATCTAAAAATATTTGAATGGTGAAAGTATGACAGGCAAAATAAAACGGAACTAAACCTACGACTTTTGTTTAAGGAGAGTGGAGACCCATATTGATTAAGGGGTTTAATTTAATTATTAGTCTATTAATTATTAACTTAATTTTATTTTAGCTTAAAAAATTTATTTTCTTTGTAAATGGTTTATAAACTTTGATAAATATTTAAAATAATCTACCGTATAAAATTTTTATTAGATTTAACAGAAAAGAGTAATATTTTAAGTTTTAAAAAAATAATATTATAATTCTAATAAAATATAATAACTTAAAAAAATATTTTATAAAGATAAATTAGTTAAAATTTGTAATAAATTTGAGCAACTAGTTCAATTCAAATGAAAAACTTAGTAAATTTAGAACAAGGAGTTTTAAGAGTAAGTTTATTTTATATGACAGACTGTATGTAGTTCTCTTGTAAAATTATTTAAATGTTTTTGAAAAAATAATATAAAAATAAATTAAAGGCATTTAAATAATTTTACAGGACGGATTGTGTTTTTTAAAAAACAAATTTAGTAAGATAAAAATAAAATTATTTTTACGGTAAATATAAACTTAATAATTAAAAGATTAAAAGAAATATAATTAGAAGATCAAATATTTTTTTATAAAATAAGAAGATTTCTGTTTAAAATAATAGATTAGATGAAATTAAAATAAATATGTAAGATAATAGATAAAATTTAAAAAATTTAAAGATAATAAATAAAACTAAAAAAATATAAAAATTAATAAATGATTTGTAAAATTAAACCATTGATTATGGTTTGAAATATACCCTCCTAGCTTTGCTGCTGCATTCACTGCCCGCAACACCCAAGATAGGTGCCCTGACGTTACAGATGATCATGAAGTCCACATGTTCCGGGAATTTATGTGGTTGCTCATATTAACTTGGTGTATCTAGAGAACCAAACCCAAGTAGTATTAGGTATAAGTGGTGCAATAATCACGTAGCCTAAGTAATGACCGTAAAAATGACAAATTTCAACACAATACTAGTATTTAACTCGAAATTAATTAATAATAGATTAATTAATTCTCTTTATTTTTAAATTCACATATTTTTTATTATGCTTCAATGTAAGATTTTTTCATTTAATAAGTTTGCACATGACTTAATACACCTCTTTCTATATAAATTCAGTATGAATTTTGAGTTTTATTAAGTGGGTTAACAATAGGCTTTCAAGAATAAAGCATGTGCTTTAATAGTATTTAAAAATTGATATATGATTTCAATATAAAACTTGCAAGTTAATGGAAGCTGGGGATAAGCACAGCAGTGGCTCCTAAGACTCGAAGGATGCTTGTCCACTACCCATTTATATCGACAGCAGCACCATGATTCAAAAATGCTGGCAACAAGATATATCCGGGCCAGCTCCAATGCAACCATCCAGATCCCGTTGCCACAGTGATCGGCAAGATTGATTCATAGGTTTGAAAAACGAGATACTTGGGTTTATTATTGTTTCCTAAAAAATTCTTAAATGGTGCCGCACATATAGAATCTAAATATACATAAGTGTGTCACTTACTTTGCTGTAAAACAAGAAAAGAAAATTTTCCCAACAACTCTCTTTTTCCTTGCAGTCAACCTCCTTGCAAATAATTGGAAGAACATTGGTCTAAAATGAAATTTGCACTTTCAAATGATTTGCAAGAGGGAGAGATTCTTTTCTACAAAATGGGTTACTAAATTTACCTTAAATAACTCCAATGACTTAAACACTATTGTAAATTTAAGTTATCAAATCCTAAATGACATGCAAAATAAAGTAAATTTGCAAGAGAGAGAGATTCCTTTCTACAAAATGGGTTGCTAAATCTACCTTGAATAACTCCAATGACTTAAACACTGTTGTGAATTTAAGTTATCAAATCCTAAATGACATGCAAAATAAAGTAAATTTGCAAATAAAATATGCATCCAAATTAAATTAAGCATGATCATTGTCGAATTAATCTACTATTTATAGATAGATTTGGAAATTGAAATTCTACAAAACTAGAGATTTAACCTTAAATAATTATAAACCTAATATGAATAGAGGTCAAACTACCAAGCCAAAAATTAAGAAAAAGCGTGAATGCCATATAAGTAATCATTTGGAGAAATGCTACTTATCATAAATATTAAATTTATACCAATCAAAACAAGAATAGTACTTTGCAAAATTTGAAAAGCCTGATATTCATTATACAAAAAGAAATTGTAAAAAGCAACTACATTAACTAATTTAGCTAGTTGAATGTTGAAATCAACGTAAATTTATTAGAATCTATGCTAAAGATCAAAATTTGCAAGCTAAAGTGAGCAATTGTTATGAAACTGGAGAATTGAAAATTTGACAAGTTGTGTGTAGGGCTGATCATGTGTTAAATTATCAAAAAATTTCCTTTTGTTTGTTTCCTCGCTGCTTGCAATTCCCCATTATCAAGTGGTTACATGAACGTAGGTGGTTTCCTAAAGAAAATGGATACCCTAGTAGTTGACTAACTCAAATTTTTGCCCATATATTGTCACTTGTCTTTGTTATTTGTCAACTCACAACCTTAACCGAAACTAGCTGATACAATCTCAACATAATTGAAATAGATAATTAAAAGATAAAATCTCATCTTTTTAGCCTTTTTTTTCTTATATGGCACCTAATCTATCATGAGACTCAGAAGTGCATATTTGACATAACTAAACTACCTTCATCCATTTAAAAATATTTGACACATGGCATAATCTTAAATTTTTACAATTTATGATATAAACAATTATATTTTATAAAAATATAATTTATAGTCTTTTATTAATTTATAGTTCCTTATGGGGATTTGTGGGGCAGGGAAATTTCTCACGAAATTTTGAGAAAAAAATTACTTCTATCCCCACTCCTCAAAGAAACCTCAAAGAAGAATATTCTTAAAATATTTATGCCCATGATAGGGATCATTATAAAACTCTGTGGGTTGCAAAGAAAATTGTCATTCCTTCTTTGGAGTGATACCACTTTAAGGTATTTATATACCCTCTAGAGAGTGGCTATAATTATAGTTATACAATAAAGTATTAAGATTATATAAAATTTTGAAATTATTTTTTAAAATATTTATTTTATTTTATTTTATTATTAAAAATATTTAATAATTATAATTAATTAAAAATAATTAACATTTATTCTTTTATATATTAAAATTATTATATAAATTAATATTTTTAAACACTATAACTATTTATTTATAAAAAAATAATATGATGTCATCTTAATAATTTGGTGTGTGCGGCCATATCCAGACCTATAAAGAGCAATTACTCTGCACGTCGCAGAGCCATTGGTTCTTTTGGATCCTTCGTGGTGCATCAACAAGTGCTTATATAATAGCTCTTTTGGGCTTGGGCTTTGGTTTTTAATAGTTTTGGGTTATTATTATACCAATAAAACAATTCGTTGGATAATGATTTATAGTTTTATACCATAAAGATTCAAAGAATAATTTCATCCCTTTCTAAATCACTTTCCAACAAACCATTATAGTAGTGCACTAGCCGCCATCATGTGCTGGCAATGCATGTCAAATATTTTGATTTGTATCAAAATTTAAATCTCTATTTTGTTAATTTTAATATTTTTTTCTTAAAATTTTTCCTAGTTCAAAAAAAAAAAAAGAAAAACACTTATAGGAGTTAAACGTAAAATCTCTAGAGTTAAACGTAAAATCTCTAATGTAAAAATATAAAATTTTAACGACTAAATGTTTTCCTCAAAAGGACCACAAGCTACCGTCATTAATTCATTTCTTCTTAATTTTTCACTTCAAATTAACATTTCTTGGCACTAGCAGCGCCGATGTGGACTGTTAATGTGTAGTAAAATTTTAATTTATATTAATGTTTAAGTTTTCTAGAAATAGTTGTAATGTTTTTTTTAAAAAAAAAATTCCTTATTAAAAAATAATTTTTTAATATTTTTAATATTAAAATATTTAATTTTAACTATAAAAATAAAATTTACATTATATTTTATTTATTATATGATATTAATTTAATATCATGACATTATAAAATATTAACACATCAACCTAATCCGATAGGAACCACACAACCATAAGAATTAATGGAGGATGGCTCCTCAATGTGGAGCCTTTCCCTCTAAATTAACGGCCATTCTCAAACATCAATGATTAAAACGCTAATTTTATTTATCACCACATATTAACTTGGACTCTTTCATAACCCAGCATCTTAAGAGCACAACATTACATCTCTTAATTAATTAAGAAGAGGAGACTAATAATTCTTCCACATTAAGCTCATCCTTGTATATATACGGCTTAATGGTTGCCCCATACCCACTCAGGAGATCATAGTACCTAGACCAAAGCATAACGCCTCCGTATTTGTCCGATTGTTTCACCACCGGAAGGATCTGATTTATAAGAACATCAGCCGGAATAA